TCTGTGTCTGCCCGGGGGGTAGGGGGGGGGGGGTGTTGAACCAGGTGCGGTTTGGGGTCCTTGGCGGCGGAACTGTCGTGATTTTCGGCGTTGCCAATGGTGTTAGCGCCGACGAAAGAGCGTGCGTTCAATTTGGAGGATGCCCGGGGATGTTTTTTGTTGGAGCGAAAATAAATTATTTGGCACTTTTGGTGGGCCAACCTGCCCAAAACTTTTCTCATTAAAAAAAACTCTCAACAAGTAGTCTAGACTACAGTCTAATCCACGGTAATTTTTTCTGACGGCAATTTATTCCGGAAAACGGATGCATCGAACAGGCCGTGACCTTCCGTGAACAAGACAGGCAGAGAGGCAAAGAGCAAAGACAAAAAAAGGGGGCGGGGTGATGTTCGACGTGACGTGGGAGGTATCTCTTGCATGTTTTAGAATGAATGAATAATCCGGCCACATCCGTCTGCTTGGTCTGTTGGTTGCCAGCATCCATGCGTGAGGAAAACGCTCAGAAATTTTCCAGATATAAATGCGAAATGACACTGACTGCTGGACGTTTCATCCGCTCGTGTGTGAAACTCCTTTTTTGTGATGAAGACTCAATGCGTAGCCAATGATAAATTTCCGCACGGAGGGTTTGTTGTGCCTGTGGCGTGTCGACGGTTGCGTCCGGTATCTCCTGGCCATCCATCTTCTCATATCGTTATACTCCGGAGGAACGAAAACAAAGATTGATTGCTGCTGGTTTTGTTCGCTGACGTCGCTGCTGCTCCGCTCAAAACAAACGTTCGAAATGATGTCAGGTGTGGGTCTGTCCTGCCATCCCGGCATATATTTTCATCTTCCATCACCCCTTTCTTGACACGGCTGTGCTCCGATTAGCCCCTCTCTGGAGGGATCACTTGTTTCCACGTACCCGTGCATCACAATCCTTTTTGTGCATGTCTAATTTCCTGAAGCTTGTTTGCGGCTGAAAAGGGGGTAGACTTATCATATTTATTCCTTTCTGAATCGCATCGGGCACGCAGAGAAGCTCCACAGAAATGCGGAAGTCGTCATCCATCTCATGAAACATTGAAACACTGGGCATGCTTGATACACTGTCGATCGAATTCTTTCAGTTATCGTTACATTGGCAGGAATGGATCAGGATAAAGCACGGGATTTGCGCAGACTCGCCAATTCTGTGTTTCTACCTTGCTCAGCACCTAACAACGTACGCGGTAGCGTGTACCATGTATGTCCGCGCGGACCAATCTGACTATCGATCCTTATGTACAGAGTCCATGGTCTACGTGGAAATACTCGCCGCACACCCAGCATTCAAAATGATGAAGCGAGAGAGAGAGAGAGACCGAGAGTTTCCCATCGTCCGAGCACCGAACTTGTTCGAATAATCCTCGCAACTCACAGGCCTGACTTCACCTCCTCCGTGGCCTCCGCTGTTTGTCGCTCGTCTCTCCCTCGAGATCTGGTCTTGGCTTGGGGTAACTCAGATCGTCGGTCGAACGGCATCGGCATTATCGTGTACAGCCCAACGGCAAGAGCGACAGGTGGGCAGGTATGCAGGCGATACGTTCACAGCAATGGACGGTCTTCAGCTTCTCCCTTGGGGGGGGCGACAGTGACCAAGCGCGGGTGTTGGGTCTCGGGCAGAGAACGCTTCCTTGGAGAGGCGTAGACTAATTGCTGAAGCTCTTGCCTCCTCGTCGAGGGTGCGGCTTCACCACAGAAGCCTCGCCACCTTTAAAAGGCTCTCAGGCAAAGCCATTGAACGAAAAGGTTAACGGCAAGAAAGGCAACAAAACAGCAAGCCCACGGGCGTTTCTGCGACCCGTCGCGACAATATTCCGCCACCAACCGACTTCTTTCGAATCCCGTGTCAGGTCTCTAGTCGGCCGTTCAACCAGACCAGCGCTTGTTTCCCCCCTCAGCCTCCGTCCGTGCCCATACCATTGATCGCATTCAGACCCCTGCATGCTTCGAAGGTCACTGCTGTTGTCTACCCCACGTTGCCATGCAATGTGCCCTGTTGATACACTTGAAAAGCACACGCAGACCGCACACGTATCCAACCCCTTCCCAGCGGCGGGTATGTCCCTCGACAAAGAGAGGAAAGACTCCCCTCCCCAGCAGAAAATGTTCGGCAGGCGAGGTCCGGCCAAGTATTTTCTCAATCGTCGTTCTCCCTGCCGCCCTTGCGCCCGCCCCCTTGTCCCCCTCGTCCGCCGCCGGCCCTGGCCTTCTTTAAGCGCTCCTCCTCCTTTCCCTGGGTGCGGTACTTGCGCTTCCTCTCTTCTTTCCTCACCCCTTCGAAGGCTTCGGAAACCTTGGCTTGCTTCTGCATGTTCGCCTGAAGAGACAGTTCGTTGTATTTTTTTTTTTTTTTGGGGGGGGGCAATCTCAAAGCGTGCGGCAGGGAAACGAGCTGTGAAGCTGGGCACGGCCGTGCGAGAGCAGCCAATAGCGTAAAGTATCGTGTGGCACAACAAGAGGCGGGCGGGTGGGCTTTGTTAGGCTGACGCAGGCTCGTCGACAAGAAATTACTGCAGACAGCACAGCCTCTCACGGCACCATCGTCATGGCAGAGCATCCTCGATAGGAGGTATGCGAACACGTTGAAGGACAAGTCCTTACCACATCACTGCTGTTAAAATGGCGGAGAATCCTCGATTGGTGGATGGCGAATAATTTGGAGGGCAAAGCCCAAACACGGAATGTGGTGGCATGACGAGGGAAAAGTAACACGCTGCTTCAGGGCACACCAACAGCACGCCAGGTACGGTGCGAGGAGGAGCGGATTTCTCTCAGGCGAGACAAAAAGAAAGCACGCATGCGCCCACACTGTTGATTCCGCCTCCTGTAACACCTCGTCTCTCCCAACAAGAACCAACAAGGCTCCACAGCAAAAAGAACTTTGCCATGTACTACTATATCGTGACCACGACCGACGATACCCGCGCGCTCACGCGTGCGTCACCCGCACTAACCTGTTTCCGCCGCTGTGCCGCCTCCTTGCGGATGGCGACCTTCTCGTTCCTGATCGTCGCCAGCGCTTGCATCAGGGAAACCTTCCGCCTCTCCGCTGGCTCCATCACCACCGCCCTATCTCGACAGGCCAAGGGCACGCAGAAGGTACAAGGTACAAGTGAAGTGCAAATGAACGTGTGGGGGGGGG